GTATATGTACATAGTTTGCACTAGTATTATCATATATACAAAACAGAGTATCTCTGATTTATTGCATCAATTTTCATCTAAATTTTATTCCTAAATGAGAGTATTGCCATTGAGTGGATACTGTACGTGCGTTTTTTAAAATAATCTTTTACATACAATATTACTAGATAATAAAGCTTTACATCGAAATTATTAAAATAAGATTCGTCTAAGTTAAAAATGATGAAAAATAATTTTTAAAATACTAATTAATCCTTTGCCTTACGATTTTGATCACATTTCATTATTAGGGATGAAGTTGTTCGCGCTAGAACAATAAGTGTCTGGCAATACTTATATCTCCTTTTGCCGACCTGGAAGCCAATAATACTGTGTAAAAAGCTTTCAAACATTGTCTTATAAAAAAAATATCAAATATTCAATAACAATATAATATAAAATTACTTACTTTTTTACACATATATATTTTGCATAAATTTTATAATATAAAACAGAAAATAATATAATAAGAATAATATAATAAAGAAGAAATAATTGCTTGTAGATATGATTTTTTTTTATTTTGTAAACAGTTTGCTTGGCAGTCTCATAACAATTTTATCATGAATTCTACTCGTATTTTTTTCTTATATTTATATAATGTTCGTACTACGAATCTCACTCAATATAAGGCAAAGGATTAAATTATTCGCTTTAATTTTTCTTTAAGTTCATTCTGGTAAAGAATGCGTTGTAAAATTTTTTCCGATTGCTATATTTCTAGATTTTTTGGCGCGAAGTTACTGCCATCTTTTGATACGAAAAATCTGAGACACTCACAATCAGTACATGCCGAGTATACTTCATTGAGAAATGTAATTATCTCAATTTACATATCAATAAAGATTAGCTGCTTACAAATTCGTACAATAAGAATGTAGGCGAAAGTATTTTGCAACTTGGCGAAAATACTGCATAAAATACAGTAAAGTCTAAGTACTCTAAGTAATAGAGTACATCAGTATTGCAATTCGAAGGGCAGTGTTATTTCACTTACAAAAAATATAGCCTTTTCCTGTTACTCTCTTAGATGAGAGTAAAGTTGCTCTATATGAGCAAGTTTTATTAAAAAATAGCAAAAAACGATACTTCTCTCTTTCGCTATCAATAACTAATACTATCATAAACTTTTATTAACATTCGCAATTTATTAATAGTGATAGGGTGGAAGAAAGTATGTTATATATCCACCCAACATCTTTCTCAGAACAGTCTGAGATATTTAGTACATTTACAAAATATTTACAATGCTGCTGCGATAGTAGTATGAGCAAGTGACAGATTCACAAAACCAAACTTCTAATACTTAACATCATAATATCACATTTACAAAAATGTCTTACATATTTACAAACAGAAGTACAAAATGATTTTTCAGTGTGTATATAATTTGACACATCCAGTTATCTCTCCTTTCGCTATGTAACATGTAAAATTCAATAATTGCATTGATTCAATAATTTGATAATTTTTAAAACTGAACAGTCAAATTTGTTAAATAGTAGATAAATTCTAAAAGCTGATGAAGAAATAATTTACATTGCAAACTGGGATTATGATAGATAAATGAACAAACGCGCATGGTTCTTTACAAAAGTATAAATTAATGGCAGATTGTATAATTTGGCACTTATATACAGTACTAATATCAATCAATATGTTCAAACATCGGAATCTTAACAAATGATAATTATCTTATTCATTTTGTACACGTAATAATCGCAAATGAAAAGATCATTTCAATCCTTTCGAGATCGTCAAAATCTTCCGAAAAGCAACAAATGTTGAACATAGCATATGTATATAAATCTTGTTAAAATAGACGTATGCGTGCGCAAGCGCGTGTTTTGTGTGTTTGTGTGTGTGTGTGTGTGTGTGTGTACATATAAATAGAAACATATACACATATATACTTATACATGATAAATATGTCAGTACGCTTTCAAAACGAAAGTATCAGCCTTGCCGTCGTGTAATTATAATTACGACACGCATAACGCGAGATCTTTAGTTGTTACGAATTGTCATGCTCATCCATCTGATTTACGGTCACCATTGATCTCGACGACTTGTCTAAATCGTTATTCTCATCGTTATCCACTAGATACTGGAAGCTCTGCAAATTTTTATTTGTCGATTCTAACATCGCGTTAAACATATCAACATTTTCGTCACATTTTTCTATTCGAACATCATCTTCAATATCATCTGTAATTGAATATACTTTTCACATTTCATTGTTTTAAAGACGCATCTCATCTCTGATTAAAATTAAATTTAATTAAAAAAAAATATATATATATATATTTTCTTTTACTTGTGCAACATACCATGTACTTGCTTTGGCCTGACCAGTATTTCCTTGCTTCCCAACGATTTTGAAGATTCTAGCAGATTCGTATCCTGAGAATTTATACTCACTTTAACATCGTTATTTTTCCTACAAGAGAAAAGAAGCATTAATCAAAACATTCAATAAATCCTTAAGATTTTTTTTTATCAAGAATTTGTTGTCATAATATATATAATATATATAATAAAATACCTATGCTCGATATTATTACTATTACTCTGAACTGATCTGTGCTGTGTTTCTTCCGATATGGAAGTAATCATGGAATCTGTTTTTAGAGATGACTCTCGATCGATCGTATTTTTATCATTATTGCATTCTTCCTTTGGCAAGCACGCATTTATATCCTGTATCAAAGTCTTGGCCTCAACATTACAAATGGCAGATGAATCAAAAAGCTGCGAGAGAACTTTGTTTTCCTGAACGTCATGCCGAAAACGCGTGACTGACACAACCGTTTTTCCAGACTGTAAAATATAATTAGGTGCATAGAGATTGGACTAAACAGGACAATAGCGATAAGGAATAATAAATTACCTTTATGTTCGTTTTGACAGATTCTGCATTCTGTGGCGAGTTTACAGTTGGCAGCATAGTCTTCGTTTGATCTCCATTATTCAGAGAAATATGATGGGGTTGAACGTTGATCGAGTTTGCATTATGTTGGCTCGTAACGCATAGATTCTTTCCTTCCATTATTACTTTCCCTAGCACTTCCTAAAATGGTCAGTAAAGCAATCAATATAATGAATCTATTCAACTTTTACTTTTGTTCTTTGATTTATCTTTATGTTCTTGATATTTATTAGAATACCTTGCCTGCATGTGATAGTGTTACGGATTTTGCCTTCTGGATAACGATTACGTTAGCTTTATTTAATTTAGTGTTATAATGAGGCATATTTATAACTTTCTTAGGAAAAATACCCTAAAATAAATAATGTACATATATTTTATAGCAATATAATATATACTGTTGATAAAACGTGTGTTTCTATATTATTCTTCTGTTGCAGCAATTTTAATATAAAATTAAACAGAACTGATTCTCTCTCTCTCTCTCTCTCTCTCTCTCTCTCTCTCTCTCTCTCTCTCTCTCTCTCTC